AAAATATTTCCAATTTAGCTATTTTGGCATATAATTTAAATTTCATATTTAATTCATATCAAATTCTTGACAATTCATACTATAATGCATGTTTACTCTGTAAAAATCTTGCAATATGTGTATTTAGATCTGAAACCCCTGAGCAGATAAAATACTTTTATTAATGCATGTTAGCATGAGGAGAGGCTCAGTGCATCAATATCAGTAAACAGCACATTTGTTTATAATACAATCCATGCCTCATTGTTCTGCTAATAGATTCAACGCCTGTCTTTGTGTATGTTTGTCTGTTGTGTGTGTTTGTGTCTTTTTTCGTACACTCTTAATAACTGGGACCTTTGCTTTCAATTACCCATAATTTCCTGGGTTAATTAAGAGATTGAAGGCCTGAATGGATCTGTCTTGTCTTCTTCAGCCTCTTCTCCTTGTAACCATGTGCCGAGCTCAGACCCATGTTGTGTGTTAACACCAAACAATAGAAAAATCCTCTTACTTCAAGTTGTTTGGAATTCCAGTTTCTTATTAATAGTACTTTCTCCCCGATCCAAAGTGTTCCTGAAAAGGAAATTATCTCCTGTCTGAAAGGAGAAAGTGGCGGACTCTTTATTGAGGGAAATTAAATAAATCTTTTGGAGTAGAGAAGCAGCAGAGACATTTAATTACACTATTAACAGACATAACTGCATCGAGCACACCCACTATTGTGCCATTCTTGTTAGAAACACAATTGCCAATAAGAGATCATCTTCGCGCTGAATACGAGATGCACAGCCCTTTTGAGATGCAGTTCCACCTAGCAACCAATATGACATTTATCATAAAAGGGAAATATTTATAACTATTTCTAGTTACACAGTTGGATATCTGTTCATCTTGCGCCATCATTCCATATAAAAAAAAAAACACTAAGCAAAATATTATAATATAAAAATTTTTGCATCTCTTTTTGAAATACGCTATTATAAAGCGTGGGTGAAAAAGAAGTCTGCAAAATACATGTGGCTAATTATATATAAACGTTTATGATTCACCTGTTAAGATCTGGACAAGAAAGTCTTTTTGGGATTGAGAGGCTAACAAGAAGGGTGCTAATACAATGGTCTTTGAGTCAAAAGGCTCATTAGTTCCTGTAGTCTGGATCTAGAGTGCCGGGTGCTTCCTCACTTTTTAGCTGTTGGAACGATGTGGCTATTCATTGGGTTTGGAGGTTGCAAATCATGGGTGCACCCTTCCACCTTTAGCATCCGTAAGTTGTTTGGTGGGTTGAGGGACCAATGTGGGGTAGGGGCCATCGGAATGCCTCATGTTTAGATATCTTGATAATATAACAGGTACGAGCCACAGTACCAAGTTACAATGATGACAAATGTAGACTTTGTCTAAAAGAATGGCCTTTATATTGTTTCGGTTAATATGAAATGAACCAACCTTTATCCCATTAGCGACCAGTGTTTCAGAAGGTCTTGGAACTAGAGTGAAAAATACTGCAAATACAAATCAGAATACAAAAACATAGGTATTGGGATCATTGATGGGTACAAAAAAATACAACTGACGCTTCTCGTGAGATGCTGATAGTGTTAGGCATACATGCATGTGCCTGGGGCTCCTGTAATTCACATATCATGCCCAGAAGTGAGGAATACCAAGTAGATAATAAAATGAAAACTACTAAACATTTTTGAAACATAAAAACACAACCCAAAGCTATCTTGTAGTGACAGTTCTTCTTTAAGTTAAAGACTCCCATGATACATCTATGAGGATGCAGTTCAATCACCAAGCTAACTGACCCCATCAGGTTCAACATTCTGAATTAGCCGTCCTAATTAACATCTAAAGTGATGTTCTTCCTCCAACAGACCTGAATGACATCAAATTGCCTGAATTAATTCAAACTGCAATCATAATTTTTTTCTTTCTCATTTTAGCCGAAACATTTTAATAACATTTGAAATCTTTTCATGATTCCTGTAGATTAACAAGGCAATTTATTCATTTAACCAATAATTGTGGAGTACTGCAAAGGGAATTGCAAATTCTGGTCAAAGTAGCCCAACTGCAAAAATAAATAAATCTCTAATTCAGTTATATTTGCAGTTCGGCTTCTTTGGAAGCCCCATTGTCAATTCTAGACACTTGCTGTTTTTAGTGAATAAACCCCATCATGATTACAAGTCATTTAATAGCGTAATGGGTTAAATAAATTACAACGTCTCTTTGGTCTTATCATTATTACAATTGGCTATCAAACAACTGTGCTTATTTACATGATACCATTTCTGAAAGCTTCACAATCTGCCCAATGGCTCTTTGCTAACTGACACACTTAAACCTCTATAAAGAAAAGCTGCTTTATGGCTGATATCTGTCACACAGGCAATACCATACAATGCTACATTGTTCCAAATTCAAAAGTAAAATGACTCAGGGAAATGAGCAGGCAAATTAACCCCTGTTTAGGTCATTGTGTTCTTTGCATAGCAAAGGGGACATGGCCTCCGATAGCATAACTGGATCTCTGACCAATGGGTTGGAGAAACAAATATTTATTTTCCTTTCAATTTTCAGGTGCTGCTAATTAGCATTAAAAAGAACAGAGAACATAAGAATGGCATTGATGAGCGTGGTTACAAAAAGAGAAAGGGCCAGCGGTCGTGGCATATGATGCCACACTGAGCTGTTTCTTCTCAACAGTGAAACACACAAACCAAATTAAAGAAGATTTATTCATCACTTTTTTTTCCGGACCTTATATATTTTTTTTAGTTCATCTATCCAAATAAATATAAAGGAACGCTATAGTGTCAGCAATACAAGCACGTATTCCTAACACTCAGGGGAAGCAAATTTATTCCCATCTAGTTACTACTAAAAATCCAGAAATGGCTAACCTTAAAACATCAGGTGATTGCGAACTACAACGACATAACAATGTATTC